TTGAAACTTGAACCATTTTCATAATAAACTTGGACCCAGGTCCATGCATTTTCAAAACCTTTTCATAAATAAACATTAACCAATTTAAATAATACCATGACATTTTTTAGAGAAGACTAAAAGTCAATCAATCTCATTTCAAACCATTTTTCCACTTTGGTTTTTACCTTAAAAATTTTCTCAAAAGATTAGACTCTTGTCAATCCTTGTAGTGATGCAAACAACTATACTTCTACAATGTATAGTGAAGAGAGATATTTTCCACTTAGGTGTTGAGTGAGGAATTGTTGATTTTAAAATCCAATCCATATCCTCCACTTTCAGATGATGCAAATTATCCTTTCTCATGATTGTGGGTAGTAAGTATGTTTTCCACACGGACAATAATGATGATGTCTTATCTTATAAAATCAACCAACACACTTGTGTTTCAAAATTTCCCAAGAGGAACTATGTGTACCCTGATCCCCTATTGCACGAAAGGTGGTACGTAGGCACTAAAGGTTTACAACCGCGGCGGGCGCAAAAATCATAAAAAATATGTTTCTTTTCTCACCTCCACCATTTATTTTACATACAACATTTTATAGCCAAAATATACAGATTTTTACAAAGAGGTTCCTGCGGAGTACCGTAGATGTTTAGGGTGTTAATACCTTCCCTTTGCATAACCAACCCCCTTACCTTGAATCTTTTCCCCTCTTTTTTGGTTATTTGGTATTTTCCCATTCCTTTGGAAACAATAAAGCGTGGTGGTGATTTTTATTTTGATCTGTATGAGTCAAGTGAATCCAATGGCTTAGTCTTAAACACTTATACCGCTACACGAAGAAGACTATGTCAGGACAAAACTGAACTACAATCAAGAGTGGACACTCAAACAATAAAATGATTAACATCAAAAGGATATTTGTATGGGGTGAAAATAAGATAACGAGGGTGAAGACCTCGCTGGGGATATAATCTGAAGAATTAGAAAATTCACTGGGGAAAATAGAAACAGTAAGGGCTTATGTTCCGATGCATGTTTAAATTTTTTTATATGACGTAATGCTTTGTATAATGGAAATGCTACACATTTTGGTAAATGCAATGTAATGATGCATGTTTAAATGCTTCACTGGGGAATGGCCAATCGAGAGGCCAATAACCCAGAAGTCAGAATCTGACAAGACTTGCAAAAATAAATTGCAAAATCTATTGTAGAGGAGAAGATATAAGGAACCGCAGAGGAGGAATCCTTGAAGAGCTGGAACTCTGAGGGGAGTAATAACTGAGTAACCAGTGGAAAACCAGCCACAAACACCGGGAGGAGTTGCAAAAATAAATTGAAACTCTGCTAGAGAAGATCTAGGAAAAACTGTAGTCTCTGGGAAAGAATGCCAAAATAGAAATCGGCTGCTGTTGGAGAAAGATCATGGCAAGACTATAAATCTCTGAAAAGGACAATGCACAACCGCGTTGAGAGTGACACCAAGATAATGAATCAGATGTGGGGAATGGAACCTTTTGTTTTGAGGAAACAAAACTCTGTTGAGGAAATGGAACTTCACTGAGGAAAATAAAACTCTGTTGAGGAAATGTAACTTCACTTTGTTGAAGGGTGTTTCGTTGGGGATTCCTGAATCTTTGGTACGCAACCATAAAAGAGACCACGAAGATAGTCAGGAAGCATCAACTTTACAGTGGAATTTGGATGTTTCATCCAATCATCAATACTACCGAGGATGGTAAGGGGTTATTTTGACACTAACACTTTTCATGTCACGAAAGGCCTTTGTCCAACGGAATAGTCGAATCTCTTCCTCCTGGCAACATTAAGCTCTTCACTGATGTTTATTGTGTACGCTCTTTTTGATGTCTAACAATTGTTTTGTATGCAGGAGGATTTCATTACGGGAATGACAACCCTGAAGCGAAAATTACGTAAGCCTTGAAATTAAAAGCCTTGAATGAAAATATGTCGCATCTCTGTTGTGAAGGAATCACTAGCTAGAGTGCAAAATTTCAAAATGTTTTCTTCTCTTTTTTTTTTAACGAACATGATGCAGGCGCTAAGATACCAACATGGATATGCAACACATATTTGAGAATTTAGGAAACTCTATCCTGTTGTAGTATGCTTTTGAGTTAAACTCATGTTTCAGTTAGGACTTTTAAAGGTTGTAACGTGGCTTGGTTCATGGTCTTTTTTTTTAGAAAATTTTTTTTTCAGGCTCAAGTCATTTGGTGCCCACCCCCTTCGTGATGTTCTCCAGTCCTAAATTCAGTTAACTTGACACGAGCATTCATCTCTCAAAAGAGTTTATGATGGATGAGGAACCACAACAATTTTTTTGGACACAATAGTCACTTAACCTTTGGTTTTTGGGTGTTCGATCACACGACTTTTCTTTTGATGAGGATTTTTATTGGATAATCCTTTTCTGCCTTTCATGCTTTCCAAATTTTCTGCTTTCCCTAACTTTTTCCTGGACAAATTCTTTTGAATTTCAATTTGGAAGTCCAGTGGGATGCCCTAACTTTTGCCTAAGTGACTTTTTTTTCAAGTTCTGAATTATTCATACTCTCCATTTTGAATAAGTCGTGTGACCCTAAGTTTTTGAACTTCTTATAATAAAGTGACTGCCTTATTCCTTGTTCGGCGAGGGATAACCTTTGTTGTATCGATTCGATCTCGACCTTAGGATCTTCCGTTTTATTTTTACTGGGGAAATAACCATTGTTGTTTTGATCTTTTTCCGACCTCATAATGCGAGGGATAAAATGTGATGATCCTCAGAGGGGACACTCCTTCTGAAATTTGAATCATCGATCAAATTAAATGAACATCTACCATGCCCTAGGTTAAAATAAGGGTTTTCTTTCATGTAGAAAAGAAACTCCTACTTCGAAAGCTCAGAGGGGTTAACGAGGGTCTATCTCCCTTGTATATTTGGTGTTTGGGTATTGAAACAAGGCATGTACATTGTCAACAAGGTTCTACTTAAAAGCATACGATCAGAGAAATCGACTTTAACTATCGTCATCCCTACTCCAATCTTTTAACTAGGAAAAAGGGTTGGCACAGTTGGTATCAGAATGCCAGAAAATCATTTAAAGAATGATAATGAATGGTTTAAGTAAAAATAAAAGAAATACTTCAAGGCAAATATATTCAGCACATCAGGGTTGACACTCAAAAACAAACAAGTTCCTGCAGGCAGACAATGTTAAATCAGTAAATCAAAATACACATTAAAGTGCGGTAGAGAAAAATGCCACCATGGAAGAGAATCGTCTCTATCTGGACTTGTCAACGTATCGAAAACTTGACATTATCCTGACACATGATCTCTATATTATTGTTGTACCCAAAATTTGTCCTACCTTTTACTTTTGTCTGGCTTAGACTTCGCATTTCATCTACATCATCTCCACTAGTTCATTTGTATATCACACATTTCATTGAATAAAGTACTTTGGTTCAAGAAGCAGTGTTTGTGCAAGACTAGGGTTTCATGTTGGTTTTGGGGTCCCTTCATCAGTTAAAGGCAGTTTCATCTGGTGCTTGAGAAGTGGACTATATGGAATTAGGTTTTTAGGTTTGGTTATCATGGATTTCTTTCTCATCAAGTTACGAGGAAATTTCTCAGTCGAATTCATCAGATATTGGATTAGAGTTTATTCCCCTTTTGTTTGTCAAGAGATTAGGGTTTTGGATCCATGTTTGTGAAATTATTCTTTCATTTTCTTTAAAGATATGTCAAGGACATGAACTAGGGCTTTGACCTTGACTATCACGAGTTTTTATCCTCGACACTTTAGTGTGTCTATTCTATGAGGAATGGCTCGAATTGTTACTTGTGATATAAATAATCTTATTTACTTCATTCAAAGGCTTTGAATTCAAAGATAAAGTGTCTTGTGAACCATGATTGAGAAATGCATTTTCTTTTTCTTGCATTTATTGATTGGTTAGGGTTAACTGTGATCATATGGTGCCCTCGTGGTTAAGATCTCGCTTAAGCTTCACTATTGTCAATAAAAAGAGTTAATTACTGGAACCGCAAGTTATCTGGCCATAAAATTCATGTAGAAAAAGATGCAAATTCATTGTTCTCATCCCACCAGTTAGGGTTGGTACATTAGGAATCAAGGTTTTATCTGCTTAGAGAAGAATTTCTTGAGATGTAAGGCATTGTTAATAGTTTGCTTCAGGCGCAAGATATTTTTAAGGATTTCATATCTAGAAGGTCATTGAGTGTGACATTATTCAATGTGTGTCATTTACACTAACTAGGGTTGGAAGTTATGATACAAGATGGGAACGATCATGGATTGTGTTTAATTTATTAGGACAACATCTTTTGACCTATGTCACATTTGAAGTTCTAATCCATCTCACAATATGGGACTTTCTACTTGATTAAGATTGAAGAAACACGGAGAATGCAATTGAGGTTTAAATTGAAGGAAGCTAGAAAATTAAAATTTTTAAGCAAGATTCAACCAAAGGTACATTCAACATCATCATGCAAGTTTTTAATAGGATTTGAGGTTTTCATTAGTTTCAAGGCATTTCATGATACAAATTATTACAATTTCCAAATACACCATGTTACAAATGAAACTATGAAATTTTACACTATAAAAGCCCACACCAAGTGAAATCTTCAATATTCATCTTCAAAGTTCTTCATGCCGATCTTCAAGAACCTTGTTTAAAACAATCCCAAAGTCTTGCATCAACCATGATCGCTACATTTCCAAAACCGTGCCTACAAACCAATTGGAATAACATCCCTGCGTAAAACCATAAAAATAGTCCAAATAGATTAGGTTACCTAATCCAAAAAATTTCCAATACACAAAACCAATGCTACTGTCGAGAAAAGCTCCAAATCTGATATGCTACAGTCCAAGCCTGTTGCTGCTAATCCAAGATCACGTTAACATAGCCTGCTACCCTGCTATTCCTATACAACCCTACATCATCTGCAAATCAGTCCAAAACCATGTCAAAAAGTAGTCCAAACACATGCTATTAAACCAGTCCACCAACTCTGCCCCATGCTGGCAAATTCCTGCATACAACAGTCTGTCAAAACAACCTTCCACCAACCATCCACAAGCCCCACAGACCAGCCTTGCACAGACCTGCAAAAAAAGCCCAAAAACCTGTTGATATTCTTGTTATCATATTGTTTTCCATTGTTGTCAAGAAAACACCAAAAATCTACTTCAATTACCCTGCTACAACCTGTACACAAACACCAAACAAAACATGCCAAAATTTGCACTAAAATGGTATACACCAAAACACTATTTCATAAAGTAACGAACCAGCATCCATATCTGTTCAAATCTCACCCACTTTTCTCCCTTTTTTATCATATTTTCTCTATAAAAAGATTAGGACACAGGCAGGAAAAAAAGGAGAGAGACAACACACAAATCAGACAGAAAATTCTAAAAGCAAATACACAAAAAGAGAGAGACAAAAAATTCTGCATAAACAACTGCTATCTTCCTCCAAGTTTCAAACCTTCAAGCATCCATTCCTGCAAGTCTCAACAATATGTCAACATACAATATATCACAGCCATAACAACATTCAAACAAGAAATAGAGGAAAAAGCGTTATAAATCCACACGAATTTCGCATGGAAAAATGCTGCAAAAATTGTTTTATCTTCCTCTAAACCGCATACTCCCTGCACCTTCAAACCCTGCTACATAACCAACTTCCCACCACCTCTAAAACACTCTTCCAATTCTGCTAAACCTTTCACAATATTCTTCACAGCACCTTTAACTTCTGCTCGCTAGCCTACGATCGCCTCCAACAAAAACATCCTTGACGTTAACACTCTTTCTGAAATCTTCATCTTCTATCTCCCTTTATCCATTATCCTTCATATAACCTTCACCACACCTTGAACCTCCCTCCGTCCACAGCAACAATCCCTAAACTTTGCTCAAAAAACCTTCCTCATTCTGAACCAATTACCAAAGACTAAAACCCTTTGCTCAACCAATTCACAAATCACAGGGCAAAACGCAATTAAAAAAAAACCGAACCGCAACAACAATAATAGCAAGGCTTGGAAATCAAAATCACAGAAATTCCAAAAACGCCTAACTGAAATGAAGGAAGAAGAAGAGGACGCGTGAAGCGATTAAAATCTTACTTGAACTGGAATTCAACTTCATCTTCATCATCTTCAAAGAATCATCGGACTCGGTAAGCCTTGCCTTACATTTGTTGGCTTGCACTATCTGTTGTTGTTTGATTGGATTCGAGACGGAAACATCTGAGTAGAAAAAACAGAGGAGTGAGGAGAATTTTCCATTGTTGTTGTATCTATTACGCTGAGTTCAGAAATGAAAAGAGGATCATAGTGTTTGGGTGTGGATTTGGGGGTGATCATTCACGGTTTCGTTTGATTACAATGAGTATGGGCCGGTTTCTTTTTCGATCTTCCCCGCCTTTGCGTTGAATAGAGGAACAAAGAGTAGTAGTAAAAGAGATGATGGTAAGAAAGGCAGAAAAATGTGAGGATAATGAGATAGGAAATCGTCTTTATCCTCTGGTGTTTTCATTATATGGTCTTTTTAATTAAGTGTTATTCTGGTATATATATTAGGAGTTAATGGAAGTAAATACATAGCCCCTTTTCCAAAGAAGCCAGCGGCACTTCCTTTCACAAATTAGGGTTCTAAAAAATCTAAGTCCCTCTCTATTCTCTCAGTCGGATCCGGGTTTGGGCCCAGCCTAACCCATTTTCTGAGTTTTGGTTTTTTATAGTTTTTGAGTTGTTAAAGTAATAGGTGAACAAGTCTGGCGCATTGGTAAGAGCTTTGAGGAGGTTAAGCTAGTGGTCACGAGTTCAACACCCCTGTGGACCATTTTTTTCTCCTTTTTTTCCCATCTTTCTTGTTTCTCTTTTAACTTTATATTTATTTGACTATTACAATTTGTTTTAATTTAGTTTAATTAATTCCTTAAAAAACAACAAAAAATATATATTATAATTATTACTTGATAAAAACCATAAAAAATATTTAGAATTTAAATTTTCTTTATTAGTTTGCTTGTTCAAATCTTGATACCAAACTCCCCTAGGTAGCTCCATGAGGCTATTAAATCCTGTTTCGATCGCCTTATGTCGAAGTCGACTTTTTAGCTCACTTGTATATAACAAATAATTAGGTTTTTTAGTCTCCCTCTTAACCCTTTTCTTCTTTTATAAGTAAAACTTAACATTCACAAATCAAAAATTCCAAAAACACTTTAATCATTACTTGAATTTATTTTAAAACCCGCAAAACACTCAACCAATTGAAACTCCCCCAAAGGGCATGTTATCTCCATTCTACCGCGATACCGGTTGTGCCTATTGCCAGAATGCATGCGTTAAAGGGTCGTGATTCCCTAGAAGAACTACGGTGTTCTGATTCCTTCATTGGATACGTAGGCAAAGGGTCGTGAAACCCTCACGAACACAATAATAAAAAACCATTAATTTCCCCCTTAAGCAAGTATAGTTGTAGATAAAGACACCCTTAAAGACAAACAAACAAAATGGATCCCGTTGAGTACAACGGATGTGAGGGGTGTTAATACCTTCCCCTCGCATAACCGACTCTCTTACCCTTTATCATGGTCACAAGACCATCTTATCCATTCCCTTGTGGTTCTATCGATATTTCCCCTTCCTTCGGGATAAATAAAGTTCGGTGAGGGCTCTGTGTTTTCTGTTGGTGGCTTCAATTATGGAGAGTAGTCGTTAATGCCCTTTTTGTCTTTCTGAAGAAATGAGCATTCAAAATGGGAGAGATAAACCTTTGTGTGATACGGTGGAAGAATCGACTGTTTAATACTGGTTTTGCGTTTGTGTTCGCAGATCTCGCGGTAAGCAAGAGTCGCCACTGACTTTTATTTTATCCAACAAAGGAAAGGGTGAAAAGAACAGAAAAATACCTTTTTTGAGATTTTCTGAGTAAGGGGGTAGATTATGGAAAGGGAAGGGTGTTAGCACCCTTTCCATCCGTGGTTTTCCATGGGCTCTTAGGTACTTGCTCATTTTTGAAAGCTGCTTGTGTGTTTGTGTATTTTGAAATTTTTTGTTTGCTTTATGGTAACTCTTGTATCAGTCCTCAAGAATGTGATAAAGCGTTTTTGAAAGTAGTTTTTGAAAAGTGTGTTGCAAAAATGAATTTTTTTGAGCAAGTATTTAACATCTATCTACCTACTCGAAAAAGGACGGTTCTTTTCCTCCTTTCCTTTAGATAGTGTTATCCTACTATTAGTGAGTAGGTAGCCCTATCGTCGGATGTTGAGGGACAATCAAAAGGGACGTTATGGTCATTGAAGGCAACAAGTAAGGATGTCTTAGCATTCGAAGGGACTGTCATCATATAGGCAATATCGAGGGACAAGATCATTTTTCTCGTAGGCAACTCAAGGGACGTTTAGGGACCATGATCTTTATGATGACTTTAGAATTGAGGTTCTTTGCTAATATATATGTACGCTTGAGGGACATGACCATTTCCGAGGCAACCAAGTGAGAAGTACCCTAAGGATGCAAGTGTGAGAAGTGTTTTTTTTCAGTTATATTATCTTGAGGTTAGTGATCTAATAGTTAATTGACTTTATCTTATCATGCATGCCTAAGTTACTAACAATTATATATACAGTAAAATAAAATGCGGAAAGTATAAATCTAGACTATTACATGGCTTCGGGAGGGGGATTTACATTCCAAAGCAAACGGGGAAAAGAAAATAACGCAATAAAGTAAATTCCTATTAACTATTACATCCCGTATAACAGTTACATGAATATAAAATGCAAAAGGAAATAAACACGCGATAAATGAAAACACGTTCTGAAACCTAGAGGAAAAATCTTTTTGGGTTGTTTTTTTAAAAAAAATATATAATTAAATTAATTATCCTAAAGTCTACTTAGAAAAATAAATTAAGAAAAATAAACTAAGCCTTTTTTGTGGTTTTTTTTATTATGAAAAGAAAGTAATTAGACTTAAATTCTAATTCATTTTTAATTAAGAAAAATGTTAAAGTTTTAATTAATTAATTAATTAAAAAATAATAATTATTTAATTAAAAAAGTCTAAGCCTAAATTTTTTGTGAGTTTTTTTATTATTTCAATTAAAATGATTAAGAGATGAAATAATTAAATAAAGCAAAAAGAAAAGGAATTGGGCTTGACGACTGAAGTAGAATGGGGGGTGCAATTGAAATTTCCTAAGCCTGGATTGTGAAGCCCAGGTCCATCCTTGGATCCAGTGTGGGCAGTACTTGATGGTACATCGTATCTCATGTTTTACATGTCACACATTCCATGTAATTCCCCTAACATGCTCTAAGGATATCCAGTAACTCATATACACACATTATAACATTCAACAATTAATAAAAATAGAGATTCAAATTTGAGATTATACCAAAATGGTGATAGCTTGGATCTGGTGATTTGGGACCTTGCAAGCTTTAAGGATGGTTGGAACAAGTCCCTGGGAACCTCAAGAGCAATGTATGATTACTAGTTCGGACCAAAAGTACCTGCAAAGTGGGTTTCAAATTTTTACCGCTTTTGATAATTTTGAAAAAATGATAGAACTCTCTCTAGGTTGTGTAGGCGTGTTGAAATACTTGCTATATGCTTGTTTATATAGTGAGGAATGAAGAGACAAGAAAATAAAGGTTTAAACAATCTTAAAGCAAACGTTTCAAAGCCATGAATGAACTTTGTAACTTTGGCCAAAAACAAGGAAACTTGTCCTTTTTTGAATTTGAATGAATGTGGACACCTTTGCAAGAAATTTTATGGGCCTAGGTTGTCCAAAACATCAACCCAAAGCTCAAAGCCCATTTCCAATTATTTTATACATCTTATTTTATATTTATTTGAAATAAATTAAAATAAATATGAATAAAATAGTTAGCAAATGCAAGGCAAGGCAAGAATAATTTTAGAGGTCCTCTATAAACTTAGGAAGATGCTTGAAGTCTAAGAAATTGAGCCCTTGCCTTAAAACTTCAAGTTTGCTCAATGCATAATTCTTGAAAATTCACAAATTTTCCCAACTTGGGCAAGCTATAACTTGCTCAATTTTAATCTCATGATAATGATCTTAGACTTTTTGGAAAGCCTGAGATGTATAAGTCAATCCCTCTTTTGATCAATTTTGCATTTGAAGATTTTATCTTGATTTAAATGGTCTTGACAAAAAGTACCTTTTGTTGACTTTCTGAAAATGACCTGTAATGTATAAGCTTGTATCTTTCAAATGGTGCATTTCTTGGACTTAAGGGTTGAAGAGAAGTTGTAGGTAATTGGATTCTCTTCAAAATGAGATTTGGTTGGGAAAAAATGGATGAAGTATGAGAAAGTTATTCCTGGTCAAAGTTTGGTTGACTTTTCCTATATAATCCCTAATTAGCAATTCTTGACTTTTGATGAATTAGGAGCATTTCTTGAGGGATCATGATCAATCCTTGATCAAATGACGGATATCACTTCAAAATGTTGATGTTTACCAAAAATCTTGAAGTTTGACTGTATATAGACCATAGTTGACTTTTCACCTAGTACAATTGATTTTCAAGCATTTGAGCAATTGACTGAGATAACTTAGGAGGAGAATTTGTCTGGTCAATTCTTAGTCATCCTTGACCAATTTGGGGACCTCAATGGGAATTCCTTGAGTAATATGAGATGGAAAATTTTGGGGTACGACAGCTGCCACTGTTCAATCTTCTTAAACCTGGAGATTTAGATTGGCTTGTTTACCTTTCGTGATCTGAAGGTGGAAGATGATTGAACACTAGAGTGCCCAGAAATTTGCACTCGCATGAAGTAATATTGATGGTTGATGACTTCGGGAATTGGCTTACAGATTCCATTTGGAAAAGATGATTGAAAGTCGTCAGAGATGGGCTTAAAGACGCCATCCAGAGAATATGACAGAGAGTCGTTGGAGATGGGCTTAAAGATGCCATCTAGAGTAGATGTTGACTTCATAAGAGGTCTCTTTGTGGGGATTCTTGTTCCTGTTATCTGAGGAGGAGTCCATTGGGGGATGTTGATTTTTGTTGTGTTTGTTAGAACAAGATTGGTTTTGATCATATCTCAGAGTTTTGATGATAACAATAAATTATATTTTATATATTTGATACTCTGATGAACGTATTTAATTGTTTCAAATAATGTTCTGACAGAAGAATCTTGATATGCTGAGCTGAAAATAAATGAAGAAGTTCCTTGGTGAAAGAACTATTTGTTTTAAGCACAAGTGTTGATGCTAATGTTGTCTTTGATAATGTTCTGACAGAAGCATCTTGATGTGCTGAGCTGAAAATAAATGAAGAAGTTCTTTGATGGAAGAACCATTTGTTTTA